TAGCTGTACATTTACGTTTATTTATAAGAACTCATTGGTGATAGTTTTGCTTGCTCTCGAAACTAATGTAAATTACATTTACCAATTCAATTCAAACCATCTCCTAAAAAAATAAAATAAAATTATCATGCAACAAGCTAACCCCCCCAAAATGCAGGGGGCCTAGTTAAGAAATCATACGGTGCGCGTGTTTCGTTTGGGTTTCCCCATCCAAAATACACATACATACATTACACATACACACACACATATATTTATATATATAAAATACATATTTAAAGAAATATTTTAAAAGAGGGTAATTGGAAGTGAAGCAATTTTTATATATTTGTTTTTTTATTTTATTGTTACCGCAGCGAATCTGGAAATTTGACAAAATAGTCCGAATATTCCCAATAATCTGCGGCAGAGTGTCCTCAATTAAGTTATTATGCTCTTTTTGCAATATTAAAAATATATTCGAGAATTTTAAACGCTCTGTAAAAAATGGCAGTATTTTTAAATATTCTGCTCCAAGAACAAGTTTTCAAAAGAATTTCTCCAGTTTCTCCAGTACATAAAGTTGGATATTTATTAATAATAATATTCCCATTATTCTCTGTTCAGCACGGACTTCTAAGACTTCTAAATTAATTTCCTCAATGTTACCTAATTAATTTCGTCAATTGAACTGTCTAAGCAGCTGGAAATTTAAAAGAAGGGAATTTAAAAATTCCTATCAATATTCCCAGTATTATTAAATGCCAACTGGAAGGAGCTGTCAGGGGCTTAAAAAAAAGTTTCACGGAGCTGTGATACCTATTGCTTCAACTGCCAAATACCCTCACACACACACACACATACACACAAACTCTCACACACATACATAGAAATACGCTGGCAACAACTTATTTTATTAGATCAACAATTTGCTAATTTGTACAATTTTTGCCCATTCTGCTTCTTCTCACTTACAGCGGCACTGTCGCTTAAAGCATTCCGGGGATATTCGGATCGAGACCCTTGAGCGCAGCAGCAACGGCGGCGGCGCTGCGCCCATTTACCGTCCGCAGGGCGCCGGCGCCAGCAACGAGTCTCAAGCACTCAACTACAACAGCAACAACAACAACAACAACAACAAGCCTAGCCAGAACAACAACAGCAACAATAACAGCATCAGCGGCCTGCTGAGCAGCAAGCAGCTGGAGCAGCTGCTCCACTCGCCCCTCTCCGCCAGCACCGCAGCCGTGGTGAATGCAGCCAACACGCAGCAGGATCTGGAGGTGGCGGCCGCCTGCTGGGCCGCTGCCTATAAGGCGGCCAATGCCATGGCCAGCGCCGGCAGCGCCGAGGAGCTCGTCCAGTTGCAGCAGAACGATCAAATCGAGATCACTCGGCTGCCCTCAGCAGCTGCCATCAACAGCGCACAAGATTTGTTGCCCAACAACAACAACAACAACACGAAGAGCAAGCAACAAAAGTGCCCCGTCTGTCCGTACATCTCGGAGAGCAAGTCCCAGATGAACTACCACGTCTCGCTGCACAAGCCCACGCAGTACGAGTGCCAGCTGTGCACCTTCGTCTGCGCCAAGAAGCAGCATCTCAGCAGCCACATGCGCAGCGTGCACCAGCAGCAGCTGGGCGCCGCCGCCGTTGCCGCCGCTGCCGCTACCGGAGCTGGCCTGGACTTCAGTGTGGCGCTGCAGCTGGCGGCCGCCAAGCAGGTGCAGCAGCTGCCCGCCACAGCGCCACTGGCCATCGATCTGAGCCAAATGCAGCTGGAGGAGAGCTCTGCCGGGGAGATGCAGGCGCAGCAGCTGCCGCCGGAATATCAATATAAGCTCATCAGCTACTGTCCACGCTGTCCAGCTCGCTTCGCCCAGAAGCACAACGACGAGCACAACGCGAAGCTGGAGCTGGAGCAGCACTTGGCGGCGCATGCGCCCAGCGAGCAGGACGCGGATGAGTTGTACGTCTGCACGTACTGTGAGTATCGTGCTGGCGCCGAAACTTTGCTGCAGCTGCATAGGGCGGTGCACATGTCGCACTACCAGGAGAAGTGTCAGCAGCTCTACAGGAACTGCAAGGAGGATGTCGCCTATCCGGCTCCCAAGCTGCTGCAAATCAGCGGACCCGAGACCATTTGGGTGGTGGACAACGACCTGGGCGCCCAGCTGTTGCGTCAGAGCGCCTTCGGCTCGTCCAGCCCCATGGGCAGCAGCTTTGATGGTCAAAACTCGCTGCTAAAGAAGCAACTGGAGTCGGGCGGTGGCGGCGGTGCAGTGGTGCGTGAACTGACGCCGCCACCCAAGGTCAAGGAGGCCGAAGAGGATGCCGATGAGGAGCGGCACAGCAGCTCGACGCCCTCGACGAGCGCTTCGGTGGCCACCAGTGACCTGGCCGCTGATGCCAGCAGCGATGCTGGCTCCCTAGACATGCCGCAGTCGGCGCCGACGCCGCTGCGCTGCCAGCACTGTCCCTTCGAGACGCTGCAGCACGCGGAACTGCAGCAGCATCTGCAGAAGCATGCCTGCATCAATGAGCCCAGCGCAGAGGCGATGCAGTGCGCTCACTGTGACTACAATGCCGTGGAGGAAGCGGAGCTGGACGAGCACACGGCAGTGCATTTCAATGCCAGCGAGAAGCTGAAATCCGTGGACTTTTTCACCTGCTACGACAAGCTGGAGATCAGTGTGGAGCAGGACGCCCAACAGTCCCAGGAGGCGAACAAAGAGCAGACGGAGCATAACAACAACCAGGACAATGTACTCAACGCCAATGTGCAGCAGCAGCAGCAGGAGACAGATGCCGAGCAGCCTGAGCAGCAGCAGCACGAGCCGGAAACAAAGCCCAGCACTAAGCTCATTCTCTACAAGAATGATGGCGAGCTGAGCGTAAAGCCACCCACCATGGAGGAGGATAAGCAGCGCGTGGAGAATATCAGTGATCGCCTTAGGCGACGCAGCTTACGTGGCAATGCAGCGACTGCCACACCCACAACGGCGTCAGAGCCGTGCGCGGAGGGAGCGGATAAGATGATACTGGTCAATGCCAAGACGGGCAAAGTCCTGTACCGCAAGTAGGCGTGGCCGGGACCAAACTATTATTATTGTATTTGATGTATTGCATAAATGTTTATGTTATTATTATTATTATTATTATTATTATTATTATCATTATTATTATTATTATCATTATTATTATTATTATTATTATTATGACTATTATTATTTTGATTATTGGAATTAATTTTTTTGGGGCTTGTTAATGTTTTTGTTTGTTTTTAATTGGGTTATTAGTTGTCGAATTTTGTTTTAAGCACCAATTATTGTTTAATTGTTACTAACAAAAAGGAAAATCACACACACACACAGATGGACATGTTCCTGCACCTTTAAATATAACTGTAAGTTGTTTTATAAAAACAAAATTAAACAATTAATTACAAAAGAAATATTAATTTAACCAGTGGCTAAATATATTAGCTATTTATTGTATTTTTTTCAAAATTTAATTAAAATTTCCAATTCATATATGATCAAAAATTATATATAAATAAACCTAGCTCTAAGGCAAGATCCAAAAGCGTTTCAAAGAAATCCAAACTGATTCATGACAAAATCAAAAATTAAGAAAACAAAACTCTAGAACTAAAACAAGAACTAAAAACAAATTCAAAATTCGTCTTGCAAACAATTTGTTTTTGAATGGGAACTGTGATTATTGAATATTGTAAATTAAAAACAACAACAAAAAATGGAGAAATTTAATTTTAAAAAATACAAAATATCATTCAATGAATATGGTACTATATAAAAATTATATATACATACATATATATATAAATATTTACAACAGCTGCTAAGAGAAATGAGAAACAAAAATTAAAATTGATAAACTTTAAATAATTTGCAATATTTGCAATTTACAATTTATTTTTTGCAGCAAACACACACATACATTTATATACATATGCAATAAGTACTATAGTTATCAATTTATAGTTAAAATATAAAGTTTCAAATGGTTTTGTTTAACTATATACAAGCATTGTTTATGTCGCGCAGTGTAAACTGTACTACAAGAAAAAAAAAAAAAAAAAAAAGAACAACAACAAAAAATACACTAAAAAAAAAACAGCAGCAGTTATCATAATATCTAAGGAAATGAACACATGTGGAATAGCGGGGCCATATTTAAATAGGTAAAAAAAACTGAAACACTTAGACAAAACAAAACAAAGAAAAGAAGAAAATATAAGGAAAACAAAACAGAATATGCAGATTATACAGAAACTTAATTGAATTAATAAACGCAACCGCCTTTAATATATGTACATACATATATGTATATATACATATATCTATATCTTTATGGAAATAGTCTTTAACATAAAATACTTATAATTAGTTTAATGTAAATAACTTAGTTTTTGTTTACTATGCACAGACACACACACACACACATTTATGGTATAAATTTAAACAAAGAAAATGTACAAAAAAAATTGTTAATAAATAAAAAAATCAAATAATAAAAATATTACACAAGTTGCATTTACAACAAATTCTACAGCTTTTATTTAGTTTTATTTCCAAGAAAATCTTTGAACTGTTACCAATTTCCATACAAAATGTTGTCATAGAAATTTATTAACTGTATTCAGAGTAACTGTACATGCGCATTGATCAAATATATTTTCAATTAAATACAATAATTAAATGAATATAAAAGTATTTCAATAATAAACGTATTTGTTTTCGAAGACATCAAACGGTTTTTACTTACCCCAATTAGAAAGTCCTTAAGAGCCTAACTTTAACGGATAAGTGATATTGCCATTTTGCAGCACTGAACAAATGCTTGCGCTAGCCAAAGAAATGGGTAGCACTGGCTATCAATAGAAACAACATGTTTAAATTAGTTTAAATATACTAATACTATTATTATCATTGTATATAAATCATCCCAATCAAAGTTGGCTCTGAATAGTTACTTGAAATTTTGAACACATTCTGGGTGCCAGAGCAAATGTGAAATATTTTCATTCCACTTTTGTACTCCGTTGTGTGCACAGCAAAAATATTTTTACACCTTTTTGGATCTCGTTCAATGTTGGGTTGAGATTCAAGTAAGTTTAACATATTTCTCTTTAAATGCATAATATAATTCTCTTTTTTCATTTTGAAACAGATATCCATAACAAATTTTGGTTACCGACTCTGACGCTGGTGCAACACTTCGGATCACAAAGTTGGAAACATCAATAAGAAATTCTTTGGCAAATTTTCACACCTATTTCCGTAAGCTTTTAACATGTGCTGGCATCCGGGCGGCTGTTGCGGCATACCCGCTGGCATTCAGTGCACAAACTTTTGTTTTAACTATTGGACAGGTTGCCCCACGACGCCCTGCTGTCGCACCAGCTGCGTGCCTCCCTGTCCACCGTATCGTGGTTGCTGCGGTGGTCCACGTTGCGGCTCTTGTTAGCAACAGGCTTAGAAGGAAATTAGGTCTGAAGCGCCATGGAGAAACAACAACAAAAAAGAACATTTCTTCAAAATCAAGTCGTCTGTTACTCTAGTAAAAATATCCACAATTTGATGTTTATAACTTTATTTTGAGAATATATAATACAAAGAAAAAATTTTAGTTGATGTCATTTTTACTTGGTATATGAATGTAGTTTGAAGGCCCGCCCTTTCTAAGTCGAGGATGACTTTATAAATTAAAATTATAAATTTTCCGCAAAAAACTAAGAGCTGTCGAAATTTTAAGTTACATATGTAAGTATAGCTGTCAAAATATATTACAAATTCCAAAATTTGTAGAGAACTCGGTGGAAGGTTTTCAATTTCCTAAAATAAACCCATATACTAAGACTTTCTGTCACATTATCAGTTTATCAACTGATTTTTTTTTTTTAAATAATATCCCAAAAAAATTTGAGCAAGTTGGCAGCGCCACATACTTATTTGCTTTCTAAAACAATTAATCGATATATATATATATCGGAATGGCAATGCCAGATTTGCTCCACAACAGATTTGTTTGCAATAAAAAATTTTGTTAGGACGCGTTACACCTGCCACACATGGATACGAAGTCCAACGATGACTCTGGTGGCAGTGACTCCCTGGACAAATCAATGCAAAGGAAGTGTGTAATGGTCGAGACAAGCCCCACAACAACGGAGCCCGCAGCGGAGACAGACAACTGCAGCAGGGATTCCGCTGCACTAAGAGAGTCGCCACCTGGCGAACCAAAGACTGATGTGTCCAGCGCTGAATCGACCATTGGTGAAAATTCGACGACGTTTAAAAGTAGCAGCAGCAATAGCAATACAAGTGCTGCATTTGAATCTAAAGTAAAACTCATTTCTCAAAACCTCAAAGAGACAACGCTGGCGGAATCAGAGGCCTCTGCCCCAACAACGAACACGTCGAACGACGTCGCTGATGGTCCGCTGATAGATGATGTGGTGGACCAACATAGTAATACAGACAGCTGCGAGCAGCGTGTCAAAAAGGTCCGATTCCATCCAGACGTCAAAGCAAACGATGGCGGCAATCGTGTCAAAAAGAAAAGACGCTCGGCGCAAAACAGCGCCAATAAGGCGAATCTAAGCTGTGATGGCATGGATGTGGAGGACGATGACAATGAGTGTGGCGACGACGCGGATCACGATGAAGAGGAAGAGGAGGAATTTAATTTGGCCAAGACAATTGCCGAGGCGGATGACTACTTAAAGCAGCATCCGCTGACGTTTGTGCGGCGCGTCGAACAAAATGGTGAGCGACTCCGCGACGGCCTACTGAACATTGAGGATATGCCACAGCTTGTGGAGCGCGAGGTGAGAGCTGAAAAGAACAACGAAGATGATTTCTATAAAAAATGCAAGCCGGAGAACGGCATAGAGCGAGTATTAGGCAAGGAGACAAAGGCGGGCAAGGCAAGTTCCCTTAGTAAGCAATATAAATTTACGGGTTTTAATTGTTAAATACAATTTTAGGTTGAGTATCTGTTGCGATATGAGAATCAAGGAGGTCTGTTTTGGGAATCAGAGGACTTTATACGACGCATGTGTCCAAATCTATTAAAGGCCTATGAGAAGAACCGTGAACGAAGGCAACAACGACTAGTAAGTGCTCTAGCCTAATTAAATATTATTTAACAAGGTATATAAATAATAATTTGAATGTTTCAGATGCATCATGTTGCCAAGCGCCAAAGCCTGCGTCAGCGATATACGGATTTCTAGTAACATAATAACATATAGCTTTTAGGATTCGAATTAGGTTCCGCAAGTAACTGTAACATTTTTGTAATATGGAGTAAATGATTTTCTTTTGTTGAACGAAACTGTCGAGTTAATTGTCATCGTGAATGTGCGAATATCGATAGAAGCTGTCATGCACTATCGATTTCGTTTAAGCACAGCTGTTTTTAAGCTTTTTTATTTGCTTGATGACACATTACATTGAATATCAAAAGTTGCTATTCATTGGCTTGTCATGTGCTATATGGCTTTGACTTGTGTGAAAATAATTTCTCGTCTTGGGCCGTTGCCATTCGGCTGTTAACGTAGGTAATATCGTATTAACTATCGATAGCTACTGTGTGCCATCGATAATTAGACTGGCGATACAATATCAACAATCCTAGTTCTAGTTTGACGGACGCAGTGTCTAAAAATTAAAAGTAGAATTAATTAAAGAAAAAACGTGTGCAAACGTGTGCAAATCTCAGCACACGGGCATCTAATAAAGCATTGTGATTGTTAAGCCATAAATAGGATAAATTCGACGGAAACGTATAAGCATTGGTATTGCGGGGCCGAAAACTTATTGTGCGAGAACTAAAGAGAAACTTTTGTGCGTGTCACCGTCCGTCATCCTCCACCCCCTCTCAAAGGCCAAGCAGCGTTGCGATCAGCAACGGGCACAAACGGTAAACGTTGCCAGTGGTCCAACGAAATGCAATAGACTTTGCCCGCATTTTGCAATTTTCATGAATATCTCATTGTGACGGCAGGTGAAAGTGCCATTCCAGGTAAGCAGAATCTAGTGCGTATATTCGGCGTACATATATCTTTTGTGTTGATGGTCAGCGAGCTGGCCACAAAATGCGCAGATAGCACTTACTGCCAAAAATAAAATAATCGTACCAGGAATTGAAAACAAACAATCTGCAAGAAATCTGTGGGCTGCGTGGGATACGTGGGATATGTGTACATGCATATATACAAATCATCATAGTTATCGATAAAGGTACAATACATCTAATGAGACTAGTAACTGTTCATGCTTCAATTTGTTTTTTGACACTAAGAATTATTAGTCATCCTGTTTACGGAGTTCTAATAAACATTCGATGAGATTTAAAAAACAGTATGCTAGGTTATGGTATTTGTTAGCTGTTTATAACTGTTCTACTCTTATTTATTTGTTTTCAAATTGAGACCTCAAGCTCACCGCAATAATAACTAAACATTATGTATTAAGGTATCTTTTTAATTAGGTATTTCAATAATTGCATATATAGTATAGACATTTGTCATGTCATTTTGTCAAGAAAGCCCTTGTCAAAAAACTTACATTCAGCTGCTTGGGCTTTTTAAAAAATAATTGCGCAACATGCTTGACATTTAACCAATTTCAATTACATTCGGATATTAAAAGGAATTAGCAAAAATCTATATGCTGCTGCATCAATGTGTTATCGATATTCGCCTGTCACTTGCTTTGATATCGTGCACTGCACCTGCAGTAGCAGCAGCCGCAGTTGTTGTTGCCGCTGCGCTGCCCGACACTCAGATAACGTTCGACTTAGCTCTGTGATTCTATAAATAGTCGCTGCATATTCAATATAGTTGTCTTCCTTTGGGGCTTTTGCCATAGGTCAGAAATGGACTAGTGCGTAGTTAATCTTAATATCACAAAGAACTCTTCTCTTTGGCAATTGGATGCTGCGCAGACGAACGACAACGAATCATTGTCTTATCGTGAACTTGACGTTGACCGCTGGACTTTTGTTTATTTGTTAAATGCGCGTGGCAGTTCACTCAATCGCCAGTCACTCTCTCACGATCATTCTCTCTCTCTCTCTCTCTCTCTCTCACACATTCACTCTCTATCTCTCTTTCTGGCTCGTTTCATTGTTTGGTTCGTTAACCCAGAAGAACTACGCAACAAGCAAACAGACGGGAACTGCCAGGTCACACAGCCAAAGTGCTCAACTGAACAAGCAACATGCCGGAAGAGGAGCCACCACAGAAACCAATGGATGAGCAGCAGGAGCCGCCACAGTCACCCAGCGCCAGCGATGGAAATGTTGACGAGCAGATGCCGGTGACGCAAAATGATTCGTCTACAGATTACGTTGTAACGGAGCTATCCGCCGAAGAGGCAAGCCAATAAATCTCTTATAATGTCGTTTGTGTTTGCTTAATGTTTGCCCTATTTTCCATTTGCAGATGCGTGCTCGACGGCTGCGCACTTTGGCGGCGCGTAGCAGCATCCTGAGTGCTGCTAATGTTGTCGCGCCATTGGCAGCCGAGAAACCATCACGGATTCAAGCAAACGTTCCGAGTGAATCGCGTTTGGTGCGCGAAGTGTGTGCCGGCTCGAGCAGCATGGATACAACAAATCCATTGGGCGACAAAGATTCCATAACATGGTCCGACTTGGGCAACAAACCGGACACGGATGTGGAAATGAAATCGGTAGCATCGACACCCATACACGACGTTGAGATGACAAGTGCACATTCCATCTGCGTGCCCAAAGCCGTGCAACATAACTCGGAGCCCAAGCCGCAGAAAAAAGTGCCCAAAAATGATTCGTCATTACTTAAGAACGCTGATGAGCGCAACGAACAGATGCTGTCGAGGCTATTGAATGCCACATGGAATGAATATGGCAGTGGCTCCATCATTTGTGTGCAAACTGCCAGCTTTCTGGAGCTATATCCTGAGCTACGTTTCGAATTTGAGCCGATTATAACCAGTGTGCTGCTAGAGACTGCATTTAAGTTCTACAACGATGAGGTGGATGATAGCATGAAGATGGATAGCGATACGCCGCTTGCCACCGGTGTGACCGACGCCAATGGCGACGATAAGGAGTTCTCCTCGGCCAAAAAGATCAAAAGCGACGACACCGAAGTCCAGGAAATACTGGCCAATGCCGTGGCCTCCAGCAGCGCCGCCGAAGAGGATCAAGGCGCCAGTTCCAGTGCGACGCCCAGCCAGACTGAGATAACGTCCAGCGATGCTGGTGTCACTTGTGTGGTGCCTCCTCCCCTTAATATAGTGACTACCTCCAAGCACAATGCCATGCTACATCTGCTGCGTTGCTATCAGAACTATCAAACCGAGCTAACTCGGTCCCGCGCCAACGATGTTGGTCAACCAATGGACGATAGCACGCACAAGGCCTTGACAATGGCATTTACAAATATTATGCGAGTATCGGTGCTAGTTTTAACGGATCGTATCCAGCAGAACCTCAACTATCAGCTGGACCAATCAACCTTGCTGGAGCTCATGTACATGGACCGTGTAAGCGAATCCTTCCTCATTGACCTGGTGGCCGAAACGTACCAGCAACGCGAGATTTTCGATGAAATATTCGGTCAACTGCTGCGCGGTCTGTTCAGTGGCATGCAACGCAACATTTGCAGCTCAAAGATCAATACACAACAGATCGAATGGCTTTCCAAGTTGGTAGTCATCAAGGTGGGCAATGTCCGACCCATTGCCGATTTGGTAGCCCGCCAACCAAACTATATACCGCCCATATGCACAAAGATACCGGGACGTGAAATTGTCAAGTGCAGTTTCCTGGGCCCTTTCCTATCCGTCTCCCTCTTTGCCGAGGAGAACGTCAAATTTGCTGAATACACGACCAAAAACAAACTTGAGGAAACCTCGATATCACGCCTACGCTGGGTATGTCTCTTAATATTTATTTTTTCTCTCGTATAATATTCATCTCTATCTGAATTTCTCTCCATGCAGGAACTGCACTCAATGCGCACTCACATGCATACAGTTTTCCATTCGCTGTGCGTCAATGCCAGCAGCCGTCCCAAGACTCTGGAGTACATTTCTCAAATTCTACGTCACAACGATCGTCGCGTGCAATTCGCCAGCGATGAAAAATTGCTCGCTCGCGATGGTTTCGTCATCAATCTGATGAGCGTGCTGCAGCAGTTGTCGGTCAAGATCAAATTGGATCGCATTGATCCGAATTTCCACTACTACAGCAATTCGCTGGTCAACATCGAGCAGGATACGAAAATCCGTTACAGCGAGGAGGAGTATAAGAACTTTTTGGCAAAGAATTTCTCAACGCCAGCGGAGAATGTGAATTTCCAGACGCAATGCTGGTTTCTTACGCTGCAATCTCATCATCTCGGCTATCTGCCAGCGATTCAACGATATCGTCAAAAGGTGCGCGCCATCAAGGAACTACAAAAGCTAATTGACGAGCTGGATCGCACCAAGCCCCACTGGGTGAACTCACGCTATGCCAATCGTAACAATCAGTTCAAGGAGCGTTGGGAAAAGCAACTGCGCAAACTTAACCGGTATGGAATGCAAATATTATAATATATAAGGCATATTTAATTTTCTTTTAATGAATGTTCAAACTCATTTTCTTGTACAGCTCCAAGACATGCAGTGAGATAACGCTCCTCGATCCCGCGCTCCTGCAGCGCTGCACTGAGTTCTATTCGACTGTGTGCGAGTTTATGCTTTATCAATTCGAGGGACGTCCCATCGAGGGTCCGTTCATCTCGAAGCTGCCGGTGCAGCAACTAAAACCGACTGACGCATTTTCCGCACTGCCCGAGTGGTACATCGATGACATTGCCGAGTTCATATTGTTTGCCATGCAGCATGCCAATGTGGACATCAGACAGGGCATCGATCATTCGATCATCACATGGCTGCTGACCTGCGTCTGCGCCTCGCATCTCATCAAGAATCCCTATGTAACTGCCAAACTGGTTGAGGTGATGTTTGTGTTCTCCCTAAAGCCAGCCAATTCAGTTAATACAGCGGTAAGTAAATAAGAGAGATAGTTAGTGGAGATGCATAATAAGCTCCTTTTCTTACAGATGTGGAACCATGAACTGGCACAGAATGCGCTGGTCAGCGCGCTAATGCGATTTTATGTGGATGTGGAGACCACTGGCCAAAGCACTGAGTTTTATGATAAGTTTACTATAAGGTAAGCTGGAATAGATCTATAAAGAACTTTACTGGAAATGTGTCGTTCTTCCATTCTTTCAGATACCACATTAGCCATCTATTTAAATCCATGTGGGAGAATCCCATACATCGTCAGGCTGTCATCTGTGAGTCGCGTCAGGGCAATCAGTTTGTGAAGTTTGTAAACATGCTGATGAACGATACGACATTCTTGCTGGACGAATGCCTCGAGAATCTTAAGCGCATACATCTAACACAACAGCTAATGTCTGATGTGAAGAACTGGAGCGGAATGAGTGCCGAGCAGCAGCAGAGCCGCCTCACTCAGCTGGCAACGGATGAGCGTCAATGCCGTTCCTATTTAACGTTAGCTCGCGAGACTGTTGATCTATTTCATTATTTGACCGTGAGTTGTTTGGGATGTTGCTATTATAAATAATTTGATATTAATTTTGATTATTTTTATAGAGCGATATCAAGGAGCCGTTTATGCGCGCCGAGCTTGTTGATCGCCTGAGCTCCATGCTAAACTTTAACTTGAAACAACTGGCTGGGCCCAAGTGCAACGATCTGAAAGTGAAGAACCCAACCAAATATGGCTGGGAACCGCGCAGTTTGTTGGCCCAAATCTTTGATATATATCTCCACTTGGACTGTGATAGATTCGCGCAGGCATTGGCTGCCGACGAACGCTCATTCGATCTGCAAATTTGCAATGAGGCAGCGTCACGCATCAAACGCCTTGGGATACGTTCCGTCGTGGAGGTAGAACGGTTCAAAGCGCTCACCCAGCGGGCTCACGAAATATATGGTATGTGTTGTGAAATACGCTTTCCTTATCTAAGTTTTATTATTTGGATTTTCTTGGTCCATGTCTATTTACAGTTTCCAACCAACAGACTGAAGATGAGTGCGCCGATGCGCCCGATGAGTTTAAGGACCCACTGATGGACACATTGATGTCGGATCCAGTTGTGCTGCCCTCTGGCACTGTGATGGATCGTGCAATTATCACACGTCATCTGCTCAACAGTTGCACGGATCCGTTCAATAGACAGCATCTTACTGAGGATATGCTGGTTCCGAATATTGAACTGAAGCAGCGCATCGATGCCTGGCGCAAGGAGCAGCGGGGCAAGCGAAACAATAGCTAAGGCAACCAGATCTTAAACGATAATCTACAATCATACGTAGCTTAATGTTCAGTTTTAGTGTCTACCTATAACTCTATAAAAATTTATATTATCTTATAATTATTATATGTATATGCAGCTAGAATTTCCACTTATATTTCAGTTTCCATTTGGGGTAGTCGCAGTCGTTTCTAAAGATTCTCAAAGTCCACCATACTAGAAAAAAAAAACGGTGTATTATTTTGTTGATTTTCAGATTTCTCAAAACTATTGTAAATGTTGAAAAATGCAATAATTTTAATTATTTAAGTACATACTATATATTGCTTAATTGATTGTTTTTGTATAATTTCATTTAGAAAAAAATATTGTTTCTGTAAAAATTCACGTTCACAAATACTTCAGTTATTATAATAAATATATATATATATTTTTTTTTTTTGTAATTTCAATTCAAACGTGACGGATTTTTCCTCATCGAACACCGAAATGGGCTTGTTTTTTGTTTTCTTATTTCTTCTTTTTACGTACGGTACGAGCTGCGACTACCCCAAATGTTGATTAGGTGCCACAGCTTAGCTCGTGCTTAACAGAATTTGGAATTTAATTGCAACTGGAATTTACAATAAAGTTTTAATGAAGCGTATTTCTAATATAAATTATACATATACATAGTTTTATGTTCAATCGTGTGTCTGTGTGTGAGTGTGTGTGTGTGGGTTTGTGTGGGTTTGTGTTCATATTATCGTAACTGCATACATTTGTTTTATTCGCTCAGTCTCAGATGGGTGCATGGCCTGGAGATTGATTGGATGGGACACATGGTCAATTACCAGAAGGGACACCAGCCAATATAGCACTGACAGAGGTTCTCATTGTTCGTCGCCTGCTGTATGAGCAGCTCCACCTGTTGCTGCTCGGTCATTTCGGACATTTGGAAATCTGTGCCGGTTAGCTTGCGATGGACTCGCTGTATGACCATGCTGGCCTTGCTGTTGGTCACATCGGCCACGTTAGTGTATCCACCGTGGAGTTGCTGTGCCTCGTACGTCTTGGATTTGGCCACTGGGTTGCCCTGCAGCAGCGACTCCTGCTCTATGGAGTTACTGGGACTGCCGCCGCTGGCACCGCCGGCGGTTGTTGTGTCGTTGCCCTTCTTGTCCACATCGAGCAGACGCCAGTTGAGTAGCGGATCGTAGACGAACGCTTCCAGCACAGCCATCAACGAGTCCTTGTTGCGACGCAGCACCAACATGACACTCTCGCAGGTGCGTCGATAGGTGCCCTCAATGCCCGTCACTTCCATCGCCTTTATGAGCATCCGTGTCAATCGGAAGGGTATTTTCTCGGGGAACTTCTCACGGGTCATGGCCACCTCGAAACAATCACCAAAATCAATGTGCAATATTTTACCACTCATGCGATCCAACATCAAATTGGAGGGATGACGATCGCCCAGACCGAGTATATAGCCCACCATGGACATGACGGCTAATGAGCGTGTGTAATTGTTGCGCCGCTCGAACCACAGCTCCGACGACGGCGACTTCAGCCACAGCAGCTTGGCGAGATCATCGCCCTGGGTCTGACTCAGGGCATACTCGAACACCTCGACCTTTTGCATCAGCGTCAGATGATCGTAATCGGGCGCGTAGTTCAGCATGGTCCGATGCTCCTGGTTGAGCGGCACCTTCTTCTTGTCGCGATAGTCGCGAATCAGCGTATGTAGCGTATCACAGTGCGGCACCCAGCCGATCAATCCAGAGTTTGTGCTCAGCGGGATGACGGCGTAGCGCTGGATGGCCAGATTACGACGGAAAGTGTCGGGATCGTCGAGTAGGAGCGTATTTACCAGCGAAAAGAGCTGCATCACACGCTCGTCCTGCCTCAGATCCTCGTGACCCTTCAGCAAATACATGTAGTCCTTGCCGTTGGACCCACGTATGCAGAGCTTGCGCGGCCGCTGCTTGGACGTGATCACCTGCAGATTGGTCTTGATGTGATTGATGCGTATCAGCTCCTGGCCGGGATTATAGGACCCAGGCACAGCCAGCTCCAGGTTCTTGCAGGTCATCAGCTTAGGCGACACATAAGGCAGTTCGAGCGATGTCAGCTGCGGCAGCTGACGTGAAATCTTCTGGAACACATGATAATATATATCCCAGGCACGATCCAAATCCATGAGCACCGCCGAGGTCTTATAGCGTTGTGTCCACTCATACGCCTCGGTCAGCTCACGGCCATAGGCCTGCGAGAAGGAGGTCTCCTTGAGTGTTTGGGGCCCGCGATCCAGCATCGCATGCAATGGCTCCAAAATCTCAAACATGCCCTTCACATTGCGGTCCCCGAAGTACAGGCGACTGGCTTCCTCCAATCCTTCGTGCCACTGCTCGTGCCAGAGGATGGCCACGCGAATCAGCTCCTCGCTGCACATGACCGCCTGCTCGACGAGCGTCGGAGAATGCTTCCGCATCGAGTCGAGAATCTTGAAGGCGGCCGTTTTGCGCGCCAGCGAGGCGGACTTGGAAGCCACGGTCAGGGGATAGACAAGCGCCTGCGGGTGATTTTTGCCAATGTCCATGAGCAGCTGATGGATAAGCTGACCCACCAGCTTGCGATGCGTGTCGATGCGTGCAATTAGCTGTGGAATCACTTGCAGCCAAGTATTGATCTCGATCAGTTTCATGCCGGAGAAGAGAGCTTCATAGACCTCAGCATGATTGCCATAATCAAACCACAGCGTCAGCAGACGCAGCGTGTCCTGCAGCGAATTCCCGCGGATGAGGCTGATGGAGCGGAAGAATCCCTGCACCGCCGGCACCGCATACTGCTGAATGATCAGATGTTCGCTGTCCAAGCCCAGGCCCATGGTCGCCGGCGATTGCTGGCGTGGATTTTCCAGCGCCTGCTTCTGGGACTGCACCACCTTGAAGTTCATGTAGGCCCACAGATGCCAGGCCTTGTACCAATTGGGATCGTAGTCTGTCGCCTTCTCGAAGCACTCCAAGGCACCTTGCACTGCCTCTTGATTGGGTCGGTTCTCGTGCAGTTTGTTCTGCCAGGTGGCGAGGCGCAGATAGCAGCGCGCCATCAGACGTTGGTCCTGCGGCTTCTGTGCCTCCGGCGGCACACAGTTCAACTGGGCGCTGTACGTGTTGACGAAATCGAGCAGCTTCTTGTACGCCAACTCTTTGGAGGAGGCGGCGGCCAGATATTTGGTATAGGCATAAGTAACCTGCGGCTGATTGCACGGCAGTGGGTCATTGGGCGAGAGTGCCGGATCAGTGCCCAGCAGCATCACTAGCGTCTTGTGCGACAAATTTAAGGAGCCGCTCTTGCGACACAGGCTGGCATACTTGAGCCAGGTGTGTATATCCTCGTGGGGCTTCACAACCAGAGAATGCACCTGGATGATGCGACGCCAGTCCTCAACCAAACGCTGCCCGCCCTGCAGACGCTTCCACCACATGGCCTTGAGCGGTTCCCGTCGTTCCGGTATCAGTTTGTATTGTATCACCTCCTCCAGCTCGGCCAGCATTTGCACACAGACCATTGCACCGTAGGCCCGCTCATAGGACTCCCCAGCCATGGAGGTCAGTTCGGTGTCCAGCAGATCACGCGTCTCATCAATCAGACGCTGTGCCGTCTCGAAATCATCGTGATGCACCGCAAGCACAGCGCGATAGAAGCTACCGTCTTGAGTGTCCACGGGTATGCAGCGCACATATTCCTGCATGCCCTCCCAATCCTTCAAGCCCCAGGCGGCAACAGCGGCCAAGGGACTCGCACGCGCCTTGGCCTCCGCACTGAAGTTGGGCCATTCCTCTTTGCAGCGATTGCTCAACTGCGACCAGTCGCCCAGGGCCTCCAGGCAGCGCATGTGACCAAGACGTGCCTCCAGATCGTTGGTATCCGCTCGCAGATTGAGCTGGTAATGATGCAATGCCTGCTCCCAGTTGTGCAGCTTCTCATACCAGCGACCATGGACGCTGGCCTCGTTGCCTGAGTTGCGATAGGTGGTCAGGAGGCCTTCGGCTGCCTCGCGCTGCTGCAACTTGTTGTTGATATGGATCAGCGACTCGAACACATGCGGCTCCTGGCGCGGCACAAACTCCTCCTCCTTGTAACGCAAGGCCTTTGCGTACGCCCGACAGGCCATGGCATGGGTGCCCAGCAATTGCGTCTCTATGGGAATGGGAGCACGATCACAGTGCTCCATAAACTCGGCCAGGTTGAGTATGGTCTGTGTGATCTCCGGCATGTCCGTGACCTGCAGCGCCTGTATGAGCGACTGGGTTAGCTCGTACCGATGCTCAGGCGACAGCTCCGTCCAGCAGGATATGAAAGCCGCATTAAACAAATCCCGAAGCAGCGTATCATAATCCTGGGCCAGCACACAGCAGGCGCGTAATGCATGCGAGGGCGACTCCTTGAGCAGACCTATGGACAATCGCTTGAGCCACTCCATCCAGTCGTCCTTGGAGACGCGCCGTGTCACCTGCCAAGCGGTGCGAAGCGCATTCGTCGAGACCTTCAGATTCTTGCTGCTGCTGTTGCTGTCCAGCACAAAGGGCTCGTTGTATTTGGGCTTCGCCTGGCGCTGGCCAAAATCACTACCAAAGCTCGAGGCGTCCGCCAAAGTGCTATTGGATTTAATGCGGGTGAGCAGATTATCGTACTCCTGATCGACAATGCGATGCTTACTTATGGTGCGCTGCACCATGGGCACAAACACCAGATACTTCGTGCCCAGCTGCTTGACCAGGGAGCGCAGCGTTGTCATTGCCTGATCGCGCAGCTCCGGCTCTGTGTCCAGCACACGCACCAATGGATGTATGATGCGCGAGGAGAAGTCCGTGAAGTCCAGCTGGCTGGCCAAACTGTTGATCGTTTCCATCGCTGCCAGGGACACCTGCTGAGGCACATACGGCGAGTCAAAGAACTTGACAATCGGCGGCACAATCAGCGGCAAGTAGTAGCCCAGCGTGCTGCCGAATTTCTGCAGCGCCTGCAGCAGTCGCCGCGTCACCATTCGATCCTTGGAGTTGTCATGCTGCAGTACACGCAAAATTTGCGGTATGAGCTGCGCCAAGTAGTCACGGAACTCGCAGCCCAGCGCAACGGCAATCTGTTCGATTAGGTTGATCAGCGTGGAGTGCAGCGGCGTATTGATTGTCCAGAATTCCTTGATCAGCTTAAAGATGTCGTCCATGTAGCTAATGATGTGCAGCTTGACAAAGGCCACCAGAATCGCCAGTTGCTGGAAGAGGAACTCGCGCAGATTGTTGTCCGCGGTGCGCACATTGTCCAGCAGATTGGGCAGCACCTGTGCCAAATATGGCACACACTTGATGCCCAGCGTGTGAAAGATGAAGGTGACGGCCTGGACGACACTGGTGTGGCGCGTGCTCAGCGTGGGATCGCGCAGAATGCGCATTAGTGCGGCAATGGCCACCGCCGGATAATATTCATCAAGAGCATTGCCCATGTTTACAAGCAGCTCGGCCGTGGAAATGTCCTGGCTCTCGTCTGTCTTGCCGTCCGAGTAGGCAATCAGCACGTTATCCTTCTGGCTATCGATCAGGCCCTTGTTCATCTTGTGCTTGTACGGATCCATGGCACCAAGCAAGCCCAACACACGTATCGTTTCGCGACGTATGGAACGACGCTGTTCGGTCTTCAGGAAGTTGATCAGGATATCAATCAACACCGGATATTTGTGATAGGGGGTGACCACACGGCCCGTGGCGCTTATCAGCTGCCCCAGCGTCCAGAGCGCAACGCCGCGCTTATCCGGACTGCCCGCATCGCCCAGCATCTCGAGCAGAATGGAAAGCAGATCATCTGCCCACAGCTCCATTTCATTGGAGCCGCCATTGACCTCGGCCAGATCTCCGATTGTGCGCAGTACATTAAGCACTACACCAGGATTCGATTCTGGCTCATGCAGCTTGGGCACTAGCGCCTTCAGAATCGGATTCATGTAGGATGATATAAGACGCGGCGTGCTAATGACTAGATGATCCAGCATACGTGCGCTTTGCTCTTTATTGCGACTCATGCCCGAGTACTTCAAGTCCGTGAGCAGCTCAATCATGGTGGTGCGCAGTTTGGGCATCACATAAGCCGGATTCATGGAGGACAGCCGCCCAATCGTGACCATGGCAAGTTCACGAATCTCAAAGATTTCATCGTGCAGTGTAATGAACAGCGCATTCAACGATTCCGGCTGGGCCAGCTTAGCATCGAAAGTCTCATCCAGCGAGCGAAGAATGCGTATGCGTACATTGTAATCCATGTCAGTGATGGCCACAGACAGCAGTCGTTCAATCACATGCGAAACTGTGTCACTTAACGTCTTCGAGTTCTCCATACTCTCCGATGACTGTACGGCGAGCTTGAGCAGGCGCGTGCACGTTTGCACCGCTTCGAGCCGAATTTCCTGCTGTTCATGCACTATAAAGTAATCCGCACATCTAAGACAGAATGATATGAATTAATACATGCCATTAAGGATTCAATGATGCACTCACCGTTGCACAAAGTCCAGCATATTCTGCTCCTCGAAATTAAAGGTGCCCAGTGTACGGAGCGCCAGCACAATTGTGGCGGTATCGACGGTCTGCAGCATCAGCGAGGCGTCAATTGTAATCGGCGGCATTGTGGCATATGGTATGGTCGCCGACTTGTTCATCAGCACCTGGAAGAGCACAACGATCAGGCCATTCGTAATGGCTGCCTTCAGTTGCGGCACATTTTCGGCCAATTCGCGCAGACAAACAGTCAGCGCTGGCGAGAGACCCGTGTGAAACATTTGCTCGAGGATTTCGCGTACATCGTCTGCGATTTGCGATTTCACCGCATGGGCCAGTAGCGTGATGCAAGCGAACACCGCTGCATCCACAGTCGATTTGCGTTTGCTGGTCAAATCCTTTGCGGGCAGCGCCTGTTTAATGCTAGCCATAATGTTCTTCAGATGCTTCTCTATATCGTTCTCGACAGCGACGGCGATGTAGCCAATTGTAATGTAGGCCACATTGCGATCCTTTTCCTTGCCACGCAATATGGCCATCAAGTGAGCTATGCAGGTCTCCAGGTACTGGGCCACGAACACCTCGCGGTTGAAAGCAGCTAAACGTGGCAGGATCTGAAGCAGTCCCTGTTGCACATACAGCGACTTTGATGAACGTTGCTCCAACACATTGTCGCAGATGGTTTTGAAGTGCTTCTTAAGTATCTCGCTGGCGTAGGCTGAGTCCAACACATTGTGCTGCAAGCGAAAAAGGAATTATTAACTAGATGTGAGACAAATTTAATTCTATATAAATAAGATTCAGAACGACTGCATCAATGACTGGGACGAAAAAACACCTCTTCAATCGATTTCTTGCAACTTGATTAATATGAAATGGATTCTTCTTCTTACACTGGTCAATTTGTTGCCAATGCCATTGTACTGCTCGCTATCCATTTGCATCTGGGTGCTGCCCAGTTTGTCGACGAAAGGCACCTTGAGGCGTGGCACAATAGTGGTCAGTTGGCTGCCAACTGATGAGGAGCTGCTGGTGTCCAGGAACTTATTGTGATGCGACTTGGGAAACAGCTTCTTGAGCGTTGTATATCGACGTTCCCAGTTCGCATTAGCGCAGCGAAATAACTCATTGAAGACAATGAGACCGCCGTGTATGCGATCGTCGCGAGTCATGCCCTTTTGCTCCTTGCCCGGCAGGACATCGGTGTTGAAGCTGCTGCTGGCCTCATCGTAGCAGATCTTATACCATTGCGGTTCACTCGATTGCTTTGTGCTCTCACGTTGCACAGTTACGATGAGTGCGGCGCGCAATGCCTCGCCTGCAGATTCACGTATCGCCGGCTTCGGGTCAAAGATGGCATTGAAAATGTGATCGAAAAACGTTAGAATTTGCTGATAAAAATACGTGGGCAACGCAATCGCCAGTTCACGTAAAATGAAGACGGCAGCGTGACGGCGATACTGTAAAAAAAACAAAGGAACATTCAATTAAATTGTTAATGCAATATATTTAGATATTAATCGCTACGTACCTCCTGCCGATCGCCGCTAAGCATTTCAAACGCCTTTTTTATATCAAAATCGAATGATTCTGCGCCCTTTGACCCTGGCATATTGGCCAGCTTTACCAGAGAGCGAGCCGCAATTTCCATCACTGAGACATCGTTGATAAGCAGCAGATCGCGTAAACGATTGAGGTAAGGTGAGATGCCTTTGCGTGTTATCAAAGCGTCACCACTTATGAGGCACTCTGAAAAAAAGAGACGAGTGCGTTAGCTGAAGCCATAGCTCATAATATTCCACAGGAATTATTTACTCACTCATGGCCAGGGCACCACCCTTCTTTTCATTGATATCCGCTGCATTGACCATGTTGAAAATGTGGTGGTCGAAGTCATCGAAGAACTGCACCAGCTCCTCCTGCGACATTTCGCGCAGCTCGGTTTTGACATACAGGAACAGATCCTGCGCCGCCTTGTTTTGGACATTGCGGTTGCGGGACTTCAGTCCGTTGACGAACTGCTGCACAATCGAAGATGTTGACATGTTTACGTTCAATAGTTTCTAGGGTCTGGGGAATTCCCCAAGCGCCTGCAATAATAAGCAGGTGCACCCACGTCCAGTCGAGACTTTGAGGTTATAATTTGTTTGCCCGGAGTCTGAATCTGTCTGGGCACGTCACGCAATATTGTGTAGTTTGCGTTCGACACTTTCACATGTTTGTGTTATGCGTTGCAGTGCGACAATCTTAATGGATGTACTTTTAGAGATATATCTCGTTCTGAAATTCACTTGACCCCCTGTTTTCGCGAGAAGTTTGTTTTGCAGCCGAGAAGGTAGTAGAGATGTGAATGACTGTTCAACTAGCTAAAAATGCCCGATAGTCCATATATCGATAGTTCGCAGCTTCGATAGCAGTTTATATTTAGGGTGCTTCTGCACGTATTAAAAATGTGTAAGGCGCGCGATTCTTTTGTAAAAATATTAAACTGAAAAGATATTATAAGTATATTTAACGTATCATATTTTAAAATTCGTAAAGAACTTGATTTTACACATAATAACGCTTTAGTTTAATTGAATTTACTTTAAAATTGTTATTTTGCTCTATCTGTTAGATATTTGAATTAGTTAAATATGTATAGTTTTGCTCTTCAAATACTGAAGTTGATTATACACAAAATAAGGTAATATAAATATATTTTAAATGCATAAATTTTAATTTTGAATGCTTCTAGCATTCTGTGCTAGTGCTGACCATGACTGTCGACTATCGATTAAAATTTATATGATATAATCGATCAGAACTTTCCTAATTTATTGGAAAACTTGAGGCGCTGCCAATCTAGATTAAAATAGAAACTCAGTCTGCTAAGAATTTTCATAAGAGCTAAAACAAATGTGAGTAAAAGCGATTTTCCAACTAGCAAAACTTATGAACTTCCGTTAAAAAAGGGAGTAATGAACAGTTAAAAGTGCCTAGAAATATGCAAGGCTTTACGAAGTGATGATAGCTACAGTTAAATTACAAAATTAAAACTGTTCATGTTAACTGTGGGTGGCAAATGTGAAATTTTGTGTGGAAAAATCGATCGTTGGCTGCTGCTGCTGCTGCGGGGGTTTGAAGCTTTCACTGGGGGCTGCTTGGCAACTGCCCACAGCAGCGCCATCTAGTTTTTTTCCCCTCATAATTTCTGTCACAAAAACAAGCGTGCAAAATGTGTGTTTGTTTATAATGAAAAAAGAAAATAAAGTAAAAAATACATTTACTATTGTTTTTTTTTTTTGCATTGATGATTAGCAAACGAATTTCGACCGTTGCAGTTGAACCGAACTCACCTCAAACATGTCTAACCTGAGGAAATTCAAAGACGAGGACCGCGAGTCCGAATACGGTCGCGTGTACGCTGTCTCTGGTCCGGGTAAGACGTCACCTTTGTCCTTCACCTGCTGACCCGCCCTATCTACATCTATATTATTTTCTCCTCCCCAACCACCCCTTTTAGTCGTTACGGCAGAGTGTATGTCGGGCTCTGCTATGTACGAGCTGGTACGTGTGGGCTACTATGAGCTGGTGGGCGAAATCATTCGCCTGGAGGGCGACATGGCCACCATCCAGGTATACGAGGAAACCTCAGGTGTCACAGTCGGTGATCCGGTGCTGCGAACGGGTAAACCCTTGTCCGTGGAACTGGGCCCTGGCATCATGGGCAGCATCTTTGATGGTATTCAGCGTCCACTGCGGGACATCGGTATCATGACTAGCTCCATATATATACCCAAGGGTGTGAATACGCCCGCCTTGTCGCGTAGCGAAATGTGGGAGTTCAATCCCTTAAATGTGCGCGTTGGCTCCCACATCACGGGCGGAGACTTGTACGGCGTAGTGCATGAGAACACATTGGTCAAGCAGCGCATGCTTGTGGCGCCGCGTGCCAAGGGCACAGTACGCTATATTGCACCAGCGGGCAACTACAATCTGGAAGACGTTGTGCTGGAGACCGAATTTGATGGCGAGATCACAAAACATACAATGCTGCAGGTGTGGCCTGTGCGCCAGCCGCGCCCCTGCACCGAGAAGCTGCCGGCCAATCATCCCCTCTTCACTGGCCAGCGTGTACTCGATTCGTTGTTCCCCTGCGTCCAGGGCGGCACCACAGCCATTCCTGGTGCCTTCGGCTGTGGCAAGACTGTCATCTCGCAGGTAGGGGAAGAGATTGCCAAAGCGTTGTAATCATTGCTCACTCACTCTTATACACTTTACAGGCTCTGTCCAAGTACTCCAACTCCGATGTCATCATCTACGTCGGTTGCGGTGAGCGTGGTAACGAGATGTCTGAGGTATTGCGTGACTTCCCGGAACTGACTTGCGAAATTGACGGCGTCACAGAGTCCATCATGAAACGCACAGCTCTTGTGGCCAACACCTCCAACATGCCCGTGGCTGCTCGTGAGGCTTCCATCTACACTGGCATCACGCTTTCCGAATATTTCCGTGATATGGGCTACAATGTGGCCATGATGGCCGACTCCACCTCCCGTTGGGCCGAGGCCTTGCGAGAAATATCTGGACGTCTGGCTGAGATGCCTGCCGATTCGGGTTATCCCGCGTATTTGGGCGCTCGTTTGGCCACCTTCTATGAACGCGCTGGACGTGTCAAGTGCTTGGGTAATCCCGAGCGTGAGGGCTCCGTGTCTATTGTCGGCGCTGTCTCGCCACCTGGTGGTGATTTCTCCGATCCCGTGACCTCGGCTACCTTGGGTATTGTACAGGTGTTCTGGGGTCTCGACAAGAAGCTGGCCCAGCGCAAACATTTTCCTTCCATCAACTGGCTCATTTCCTATTCCAAATATATGCGCGCTCTGGACGAATACTATGACAAAAACTTCCCCGAATTCGTGCCCTTGCGTACCAAGGTCAAGGAGATTTTGCAAGAGGAGGAAGATCTGTCCGAAATCGTGCAGTTGGTGGGCAAAGCATCGCTGGCCGAGACCGATAAGGTTACTCTGGAGGTGGCCAAGCTGCTGAAGGACGATTTCTTGCAACAGAACTCCTACTCGCCATACGATCGAGTGTGTCCGTTCTATAAAACTGTCGGCATGTTGAGGAATATTCTGGCTTTTTACGAGACAGCGCGTCATGCAGTTGAGTCGACCGCCCAGTCGGACAATAAGATTACATGGAACACTATCAGGGAGTCAATGGGCGGCATTATGTATCAGTTGTCTTCAATGAAATTCAAGGTGAGCAATTGAAATTGATTAAGACGAGGAGACTAAACTAATAAATTTCTCTCCTTCGCTCTCTCAAGGATCCTGTGAAGGATGGTGAGCAAAAGATTAAGGCAGACTACGATCAGCTGTATGAGGATCTGCAGCAGGCCTTCAGAAATTTGGAGGACTAATCGCTTTAAGGCGACTGTGTACTTGCAAAATAAACAAGGCAGACAGAACAAAAGAAGAAAATGAAAATACCAAAAAGGAAAAATACCGAAAGAAAAACCAAACGAAATAAGCAACCAAAGTTTAGGTTTATTATTCGAATTCCCCCATCAAGCTAGTCATATATACATAATGCGTAATAAGATATTTGAATTCAATTTAATTATTAAGTTAAACAGTTTAGAAAAAAATGCGTCAGGTAGAGTAGAGTCTCACTTGATTCGCACACCCAAGAAACAATGAACAATGTACACGACGACGAAGATGACAAGAAGGAAGGAGTTAGGAAAGACGAACAATAATTAGCCGATAGCGCAAAAATAAAATATATAACTAAAAAAAAGGAAAACGGAAAGCATGTTGTCCACTTAAACCAGCCATATAAATAACATAAACATACATATACATATATATATATTTAAATATATGATATATATATTTATTAAATTATCTATGTTGATATATGTATACCTACATAATTATAATTCACTGCTATTTATTGTTAGTAAAAACAAATTCGTAAAGTTATCTAACTGTGTTCTCTACGTAACTGTAACTACAAACTACTAACAATTTATTTAATGTTTTTGCCATTGCGTGTTACAACAAGTTAAATACAATACGAAATTATAATACTAGAAAATTATAAATAATATAAATTACAAATGCAATAATTACGTAGCCCCGATTGAGGAATAAATTGCGTGCATGTTACAAATGGAGCTATGCAAATAAAAATGTATTATGAATGTTAAAATTATACAATGGCTTTTTATTAAAAATTATTTACATAAAATATTTACAATTATTGTATTTCAATCTTCATAATTTCGCGCCACTCGATTGCTTTCCAGCACTGCCCGACATTTAACAGTAACAGAATTTTCGTTTCGTTAACATAGATGTTAACGTTACCGGTGAATGGCAATCAGCCGTTCCCAGTGACGTGTTGCACTGTATTTCTAAATTAACTATAACTTTAAATATTGTTTAGTGTTTATAATATGGCACAGTTTGGTGGACCGAATGATTTTTACGCCTCCGGGCCATCAGCAGATGCCAGCTACAATTTTGATATGCCAGAATTTGGCCAAGAACTGTAAGTTTCATGTGACACGCCACCGCATTTAAATTTGCTTAAGAATTGTTTCTGATGATATTTTTCGGTTTATCACAGCAATTTCCAGACTTTCGACAATACACAGCCGACGGTGCCGCCAAACTATGATGCCGCTTACAACAATGCACCTACTCAAGGTCTTGGCGGCTTTTATGATCCAACCGCCTACACGGACACCAGCTTTGCGCAGGATAAATCCTTCAAGCAGACTAGCGCAGCCGGCGGAGTGGGTTCGGGCAACGCGTTCGAGGATGAGCCGCCACTCTTAGAAGGTAAGCCCTGTCAACACATAGTGTTCAATGTGATCTAAAGTTATTCTATATTTCAGAACTGGGCATCAATCCGAATCATATATTTCAAAAGGTAAGTTTAGGCATTTAAAATTTTGAGCAATTCGAGGACAACTCCAAAACTTGGTAAATTGCATATTTAATGAGCGTCGTTCCTTTGGTGGTACTGCTGCAGATTGCCTCATTTTATTTGCATGCGCAATTACTTCACCTACTGCTTTATTCTTCCTTTTGCTTTTACGCACTCCGCTTTTGTTTTCAGTTTTCTAATTTGTGCAGTTGAAATTGTGTGTGCCAGACAGAGCGAGAGTGAGAGCGGCCAGAGGAATGGCGCTTGAGACAGTTGAAGAGAGTGCCTGGTAGAAAGGAGGAGAGTGAGCAAGAAAGTATGAGTGTGTGTGTGTGTCCACTTTAGGCCCAGCTTTTCTGCCGCCACCAACTTCGCGCTGTCTCGCGCTCAGTTTTAATTGAAATTTAAATGTTTTTGCATTTCGCTTTTGTATTTATTTATTGCACTCTGCTTTTGCATGATGCCGTTTTTCTGCGCTTTGGTCGTTTGTGTTGTTGTTGCCCTGCACTAGTTGGTTTGTTTTTGTTTTTTTTTTTTTTTTGTAATTTTTTTTGTTTTGTCGTTAATGAAGACATATTTTTTCATTGCTCTGTTGCCGTTTTGTTTTGTTTTGTTGTCTGTTTTAAATAAATAAAACAACTTTTGTGTTTTTAATTAAACTTTTTCCTTCGTTTTGCTCTATGTAACTTTTTCTCCACAATTTTGCCTTTTGTGAAAATTTGCGTCGTGTAGTTTTTTTTTTTTTTTTTTTTTTTTTTAATTTTCTTTGGAATTTATTACGTTTGTGTTAATTGAAAAATGAAAATGTTAATGAGTCCGTTGCCATCATAAAAATTAAGTGAAATACTAATTAAATTGCATGAAAAAAAGCAGCATTAAATAGCGGCAACAAATGAGCACAGAACGAGGCCAAATGACAAATTAAAATAGAATTTAAGGCAAACTCTTGGATATTCAATTAGATTTGTTTTTAATACTTTTAAAATTCAATGTAATTAAGTTCGTTTTTTTTTTTTGAGAGGATGAAAGATGTGGCTTGGTATATTTTAATGTGAAACTAAAATATAATTTCATTATATTCTTGGTTAATAAATCTGGTTGGCCCTATCACATGGTCCAATAAACTAGGCAACATATTTTGAACAAAGGATTTTAGATTATAAAAAACAAAAAAACTTTTGGTTTGTATATATAAATAAAAATATATGTATGTATGTATCTGTATGTTTATAAATTGGTAATTCCAAATTATCGCCCATAAATTAGCTATTAGCTAATAAAAGATAGGAAAGAGGATTGGTTAAAGGATTTCATGTTAAAGTCAACTGACCTACCACGGGGTCACATGTGTCTCTCCCTCTTTGTGTGTGTGTGTGTGTGTGTATTTTTTTTGTCTCTAGTAGAGAACGATTGTTTTTGGTTGGCTGTTGTTTCATTTATTTCTGGGCTCGTGGTCTAAATTCTCGTGCGTCAAACATGTTGACAGGGTCGTTCGGTGCTCTGGTTCGCTGACTGGTCAGCAATATCATTTATCATCAATTTCCATTTTTCAAATTTCACTGTGCGAGTGCACACACCCATATACAAATACATACGTACCTATGTACATGTACACAGAGCAACTGTTCAAAGCGGAACTTAGGCTCCATTTTATGGCTGTTGTGTGTGTGTGTGTGTGCGAACAAATGAATTGTGTCGTGTCCTGCCGCAGCTGGTGAATGATGACGGCGCTGTTCAGTTGCGAAATCCTTCACTTGCTTTAATTTCAATAGTATTGCTTTAGAATCACACAATAACCCGCTCTTCTTATTTCATTTTAGACGCTCGCCGTTTTGAATCCGCTACGCGGCACAGATCAACAAATACTCCAGGACACGGACATGGCTGGTCCATTGGTATTCTGTTTGACACTCGGAGGCATTCTGCTGCTGGTGTGTAAATCCCAAAAGTTCTCTAATTGCATAGTTCCAATGTTTCCCTTTCCACCTCCATTTCCATTTCGTTTCAGAGCGGAAAAGTCACCTTCTCCTATATATATGGCATCGGCGTCATGGGCTGCATATTCTTCTACTGTCTGCTCTCGCTGATGGTCACACGGTCGCAAGTGACCTTCGGGGCGGTTGCCTCCGTGCTGGGCTATTGTCTGCTGCCCATGGTCGTGCTGTCGGGCATCAACATTTTAATCACCATTCAGTAAGTAATTGTTGACACAACTGGCTGGCTTTCAGCCATACGGCCATCCATGCCCATACAATCCCAAACAATCACCCAACCACCCATCGGCCCATTCAGACATATTGAGGGGCATTCTCCGCCCCCAAATGGTCCTTCTCGATTTGTATTTATGTTTTTAATTGAAAAGTTGGCAATGCATTGTGTTCCCGGCCGTAATTACAAACTTTGGTTAAGTCAGCCCAGCTGCGACTGCAGCACGTTCAACTACTTAGCCTTGTTTGATTATTGAAACTTGAAATATTCCTAGTTTGATTGCGATTACTTTAACGATTGTTTCCCCACTGAATCCAACAGAGTTCATCATGCCATTTAATACTGAGGATTAGAAACGAGCTTTTCCTTTTAGCATATATTGGTCCAGCAAGAGTCACATATAGGAAAGCGGATGGAAATTAAAGCAGTGGAACTAGTTAAAGCAACTGCACTGGACTGAGAGAGACAGAAAGCAAAAAAAAAAAAAGTTAATTAGTGTAATAGTTTCTAGCAGAGATAAAGTTAATTTAATTGCCACACAACTTTTGAATAAGTAAAGTAGTTTTAGGTAAAGCATTGAAATCCTGTTGACCTTACTTTGAATGCATGAGAATCGCAGAGTAAGGCATGTAAACGCGCGTCCGTTTGTTTTGCATTTAAGGTCAGAGAACATTACATAGTTACATATGTATGTACACTGCATGCATGCTTAAATACATAACGACTTACATGCATGCATGCATGCGTACATGCTTACATGTATGCATACTTGCTTTTATGCCTCATATACACACACATACATCCACAGGTATTTATGTAATTGATACATAAATACATACTCACAGACACAAAGACAGACTCTCTCACACATATACTTACATGTACACGCATATGCATGTAGATAGTTAACTGAAGTTGCATGCATACACGCACATCCCTCCAGACACACGCATGCACACACACACCATGCATACACCTGCAAATATGTACATGTATAACATGCATACTCACACTTATGTACATACATGTAATTACATCATAGTTTTTTATGCATTTACCCACCGGCTACCGCCCGCCGTCCACCGTCCTCTGTCCCCTCTATTTTAGCTATCAAATGCATAATTTTGCATTACACATGTTAATAAACTTCAACATTTTATGGCCTTCAGTTCCATGCATTGTTACATTCCTTGACTTTTCTTAATTATCCGCATGTCGTGGTGTATGTAGAACACAGGTTTTTAATTCTGTAGCTGCATGAAAAAGAAAAAAAAACTAGGCAACTTAATTTGCGCTTTTAATGCACTTTGGGGGCCGAAAAAAAAAAAAACGAGCGCCCAGCTTTGCGCCGTTTAATTTTCGCGCCACTTTTGCAACTGGAGAAGGCCACAAAAAACGTAGAAGAGAAGCAAGAGAGCTGACGGTGTGTGCGTGTGTGTGTGCGTGAAAGACACAGTAAGCGGGTGATGTGCCGTGTCCGGATATCCAGAGCTGGCCACGTATTTTCCTTTTCAAATATGTGTTCAGCACTTGGTGTATGTGTAGTCGCTAATTTGCCTTTTGATACCCTGTAAAGAATGAAGAAGATGGGTTGTATTTATATTTAGATATAGAATAGATATTATTATAATTTTGATCAGCTGAATGAGCATTCAGGAACTAGTTGGGCAGGAAATTTTGTCGGCTAAGATGGAACAGTTTGTTTTAGTAAATTTGATTTTATTATATAATATTATATTATATAAACATTTTACAATTTTGTTATACAATGTCTATAGTACGATCTCTTTTTAACCTCTCAATAGTCCTAAGGTTACTATGTACAGGGTATTTGCTAGTAGCCATTTTCAAGACAAGCACTAGTACTCTGCTTTCCTTTTTCTCTTTTTTTTTTTTTTTTTTTTGCCCCTGTGAAGAGCATCACGCAAATGTTGCGTGTGCTGTGCCAAAGCCCGTAGCAGCAGCAAAACCCTCGGCGTCCCAACCTATCTACACCCCTGCCCCGCCCCTCCCAAACCAACAGCCAACAATCCTATCGAGCCTTTGGCCAGAACTCTGGCACGTCATAATTTCAATTGGCGCTCGCACGAAAAACAACTATTGCCCAAGCTTACTCGACACCAGCAGCGTTTTGTCTGCCAGCTCCAGTCCCAGCTGCCCCTCGCGCCCCCTCCCTTTTGCGAAGTGGGCTTTAATTTTTTCTCTCTTTTGGCTCCTTTTTTTGTGAGTTCTTTGCTGTAGCTGCCCAATTGCCATTTGGTTGGCCGTTTGCTTGCATTTTTTATTTGTTGGTTTTAAACGCCTGCACTTTGTGTGCATGTGTGTGTGCGTGTGGGGGTTGCGGGTGTGCTTGTGGGTGTGTGCGTGGTTGTTGATGTTCATATACTTCTACTCGCGCGCCACGTCCGGCAAGTTTACAGTAAATATTTTTACGATTTTTTTAGACAGACTTTTTAATTGAGTTTGTTTGGTGATGCAAAAGTGCACAAAAATTACACAGATAGCAGTTGGATGTGTTTGCCAAGGGTGTGTGGGTGTGTGTGTGAGTGTAGCTGCTCTTACAGCGCATTGGTTTGATTGGTTTTAGCTGCCAGGCCCTGCGTGCTATCCATTTAAGCTAAGCCAAAAATCACTTGGCACAATCGACAACAACGAGAATTGTCGAGAGAACTACAAAGAGAGAGAGAGAGAGAGAGAGAGAGAGGGAGAGATATAGAGAGAGGAACTTAAACCGAACAATATATAGGTCGGGGTTTAAGGTGACTAAGGTTATGTATATACACATGGTCAGATGAAAGCGAATTGCGACAGTTTTTTTGGGACCAGGTGACCCCAGGCGACAAAGCGACCGCAAAAAAAAAAAAAAAAAAAAAAAAAAAAAAAAAAAATAAATAAAATAAACCAAGTATACAAAAAAAAAGAAGCTGAAAATGAAGCGAAAACAAGTAAGAAGGCTCCAGTCGAGACTGCTCGACTAGGAGATACCCTGAACCCTCTAAGCTGATATTCTACTCATTCTGCACTTCTTTTATGCACACATGCATACACATGCATCCACACGCATAATTTCTTTTGTAGACATACAATCATAATGAAACTTTTAGAGCGTAATCATATGGTGAATATGTGTGTACATTCCAAAGCACAAGTCTCTAGCACATGAAACGCGCTTACAAATTGGGGGCGAAGGGGGCGTTGTATCCAAAATCTGTAAATTACAAAATCTTCGTATCGATCAACTGTATATACACAGTAAATCTGAAGTCTCTAGGTCTAAAAGTGTTCAAAAAAGGCTGAAAAAACAAAATCAAATTTTCGATTATTCTCGATAAAAAAGTTATCGGATGAGTTATCGAAAAAGTATGATAAACTTGTACTGCGTATGGTACTCACGAGTATGCATGCCAAATTTCAGCTCTCTACCTCTTATAACTTCTGAGATCGACGCACTCATACGGACGGACAGATAGACAGGGCTATATCGATTCAGCTCGTCATCCTGATCAAGATCGATGACTCCTTCTGCCCGTTACATACTTTTTCACAAAACCGTAATACCCTGATTTCCCCTTTTCAATGGGTTCAGGGTATAAAAAGGCAATCCATTAAATTGAACAGTCAGACCTTTCCCACACACAAACACACTCTCGCCCACACACACTCAACACACACTCGGCCTTTTGAACGCATGACAATTATTTATAGATTGTTATGCGGATTGTACAGTTTGTTGGCCAGATTATGCTAAAAATGAAATAAAAAACTAAAAAAAAAAGAATTTTGCTGTTGAAAGGTAAATCATTTTTAACTTAGTTAAATGTCAAGCCAAAAGAAAAGTATCAAGTGCTGAATTAATTCTGTTTATTCTTAGAAACTGCATTTAGCTCTAAAATACAAATACATACATATATTCTTGATCAGGGCGACGAGCTGAGTTGATTTGGCCCTGTCCGTCTGTCTGTCCGTCTGTCCGTCTGTCCGTATGTATGAACGCGTCGATTTCAGAAGATATAAGAGCTAGAGACTTCAAATTTTTTTTAAAATGTTCGTAATTACAGCGCGCATATCAAGTTTATCATTAAAAATCGATAACTCATCCCGATCTTTTTTTATCGATAAAAAACCTTATCGAAAACCAATTATAAAATTATATCTTCTACACCTTTATTGCTAGAGTCTCAAAATTTTTAATGTATGCTTATATGCAATTTATATAATTTCGGTTTTTGTTAAAATTTACCCCCCACCCTTAAATTTACCCCCTCACCCTCACTTTTGTAAAAAGCGTATTTCAAATACTAGAGACTTGTGCTTTGGAAATTACATGCATATCCATGTCATAATCATAATCTGAAAGTTTCATGAAGATCGTAGGTCCACAAAAAAGTTATTAAGCAATTAAGTTCTCATAGTAAGCGCTCACTGCCGCCCATGCGTGTTTATGCTTGTGTGTGTATATGTATGTAATTGTTTGTGTATGTGTGTGTGTGTGTGTGTATGTGTGTATGTATGTGTGTGTATGTATGCCTGTGTGTGCGTGCGTGTGTGTGTGTGTGTGTGCGTGTTTCTTGTGTAAGCTGAAAGACGCGAAAAATTATTGAAATAGCTATTACTCCAAGGGTTCAGGGGATCTCGTAGTCGAGTAGTCTCGACTAGAGCTTTCTTACTTGTTCAATGATGTCTTCATGGAATGGAATTATATTTACTGCTGATTTTTACAAGTATTGCTTGCTGTTTGACGTTTCAGCAAACTTCTCTTACCGCAATCTCTGCTGAGACTCGGCTAACGAATATGAACTTTTTGTTGTTCAGCTTGGGCCGTGGGTTGTTTTCCTGCCTCAATATGCTTCTATTACCGCCATTTAAGTCCATAGACTCGAAGGTGAACTTTTATCATCAACTGACGTCATTAAAACTGCTAACAAGAGTATCGAGAATCGAGTATTTTCAATTTTCGCGATTTACGCATAGGCGACTCTCACATATGCTGACAAATTTAGAAATGCTGCGTTTAGTTAATGCTGAGTAAACTGTTTTGCCTCTTATAAAAAAAAAAAAAATAAATGAGCAACTTGTTGAACTTGTTGAACAGACCTCGTATATCATATAGGATTGATCTGTCTGTGATGATGCTTAAATAGCTCGAAAACATTATTAGTTATGTTAACCTCTAGATTCAGTAATTACTATTTCTGAAACGTAATACTACGTAGAACTGTATCAAATTGATAAGAGTTTATACTCTTATGATTAGGAATTAGTTATCAATAGCCAAGTCTACTACAGAAGGTAAATACTTTGTATTTAATGATTAGAAATAAAAAACAAACACATCTATTTATTAATTTACAAATTAACTTAACCGTAATATTATAAAATTATCAAAATATCAGCTAGCTATAACTCATTGAAAATGGGAAATTAGAAAGTGGATTTGTTATTATTTTGTTTTTATGGTATGATTCTGCATGTATATATTTTATTCAAATTTATGTTGTATTACTTAATATGACAATCACAGATCAAAATATTCTAGTACTGCCATTATATAAAAAGTATTATTTAAAAGTATCCAGAATAATGATATGAAAGTTCTGTTAGCTAACTGTACCATAATCACTCCTTAATCATTCATTTTGCATCATCAGAGTATTCAATTTAAGGAAATATTGCACGAAATATGTTTACTAATGCCTCAATCTGATCTCCTTTAACTGTGATTAGGCTAGATGAACGCTCTAAGTCGCCTGCTCGAAGCTCTTGTGGGCTTAACTCGGATGTGAAGTGTATATAAATTTGCATTCTCTCTTTCTTCACGTAGGACTTTGTAGTTGGACTGTGTTTGCACATCCTTTGCACAGCGCCTGCTGTCTTTGTTTGCCCTGCTCATTCATTCACAAAATACTCACACACAGTTGCACACTCGCACACACACACCCACACACACACGCTCGTAGGCAGTGAATAATTTTTTTTTTTTTCTTTTTCCTTTTTTGTATGGCAAACACTCAGTCAGCCGTATACTCTATCCCGCTGCTCATGCATATGCATTGTTTATTGATTTTACCGCCAATGTTTCTCTTTGCATTTCTCTCAATTTTCCAGCTCCTCTTGCCTTGCCCTGTTTTATACACTCTCTCACCCACCCACTTACACTCACTGACTCACTCACTCACTCACTCTATCTAAATCTCTTTGCGCTTTGCAGGGGCACACTCGGCCTAATTGTGAGCGGCATCGCCATATTCTGGTGCGCCATATCGGCCTCGAAACTATTCGCCACGGCATTCTCCATGGACCATCAACAGCTGCTGATTGCCTATCCGTGTGCGATGCTCTATGGAGGATTTGCGTTGATTACCATTTACTAGGCCGCTCCAAGGCAACCATGTATAGCTGTGTGTGTGTGCGTGTGGCTGTGTGCCAGCTCTTGTCTGTGTGTGTGTGTATTGCAATATTGTGGCATGGTTTTAATTGTCCCACACAGACACACTCACACACAAACACACACACACACACACACACATACTCTCACTCGCACTCAGCCTATAGACATGATAATATTTTAAGAATATAAGCGCCGATTGCAGATTTGTTTTTCCATATGCTTTTCATCTCGTTTCAATTTTTTACAATGTGCCCGGACTCACGTAATAAATTTGATTGAGAGAGAAAGAGCCAAAAGAGAGAATGAGAGACAGAGAGAGATAGTGAAAAAGAAAAATTGTTAACAAATTGTAATTGGTTTTTTCCTTTTATTATTGACGGGGCTATCGGATCGGCTGGGCATCTTTTATACATATTAAAATTTTAATTTGCTGACATCCTGGCAAAAGGACACACGGACGCTCAATGAAGTTTTACAAGTGTGCAACAAAAATACGAGAAAACAAAAATTTAAAATAAAACAATTAAAAATGAAATAAAACAAAAGGTTTTGATAAATCCACATTAAATGTGAACCAATAAAAAAAATA